GCCAGCGTTGGCTTGCAGGCAGGTTGGCAGGTGAACATGTATCCACAGCTGGTTGCATGTTCATTGTGACATAAACCTGTGGGTGCTTCTTTTCCATCTCAAGCTTCCTCCCTGACTCCCTGTTGCAGGACCGGCAGAAGGTATGGCTTAATGTAAGTGGCACATCAGGGCCATGGGACTGTGCTCCGATCTAAACTGCCATGCCTTTTCAAGCCAGCCAGCATGGTGAAATCTATGGAGAACCAGTCTGGCACAAAGGGAGAAACACTCACATAATGGGGCTACTTATTTGAGTTCTCCAGCATTGCCCATTACATTTCATGTCTTGCAGCTGATGCAGTTGAAAGGAAATCACCGGAGCTAACAGCCCAGCAATGTTCTGCTCACCTTCTGATTTACTTCCTTTCATCCTCTCTGGGTTTCATCTCCTCCCAGGTTCATGCATCCCCCAGCACTCAGGTCACTTTCTTTTCATCACACCTTAGGCTGAATATAATCAAGCTAGTGCTGTTCCTGCCCCGAATCTTCTGGGGTCAAGATGGAAATCACTATTCAGCAAGAGACCCAAACAAATGAGCAAAACTAGCCTGGTTGGTCAGAACAGAGTGGATGTTATCCAAGAAAACTCGCATTGATCAATTCCAGTCACCTCCTGTGCTTAAAGTGACTCAGTATCTCCATTTTTAGGATGTTGCTGGGGAGCTGAATTCTCTTATGATTTCTCTTGTATCAGCTGTCCCTACCAACAGTATTTGTGAGATTCTTTTCCTATATCTGCTTAGATGAGGATCTGTTGGAAAATATGCTGGTAGAATAATGGGTGCTGGCACAAAGCAACTCATAAAAAACCCACAAACCCAGTGAAAAAAAAACCCCCAACAACTACAAAACCTCCGCCCCCCCCCTTTCCCTGAACAATAAGTTATCAAGTCCAGATGGTTAAATCCGAGAGTTTGGAAGGAGCTTAAGTGATTGAGCTGCTAACAAAAATATGCAATCTCTTGTGGAAAAAAAAAAAAAGCTACTGATTCGGGGAATTGGAGAAGACCAAATGTTGTACCTATATTTAAAAAAAGGCTTCAGTGATGATCCGGGGAATTAAAGATCAGTAGGCTTTGCATCTGTATCTGGGAAACTGGTGGGAATGATAATTAAAAAGCAGTGCTTGAAGACATCTGGAAGATTGTGGTCTGATAGGGCCTATCCAGCGTGGTTCAGCAGGGGAAAACTGCATCATGCTAATCTCCTACAACTTTTTGAATGTGTCAATAATGCAGTGGATAAAGGAGAAGCAAGTGATATAATGTATTTAGACTTCCAAAAGGCTTTTGAAAGATCCTGCACTTGAGCTGCTAAAGAAGCTAAGCAGTCTGTGAGAGACAAAATATTGACATAGATCAAAAACTGAGTAGGAGACTAAAAGAATGAGGGGATTAAACAGTCAAGTTTCACCATGGCAAAAGGTTAATGTGGCCTCCAGGTTCTCTTCTAAATCCCTTGTGATTTACCTTATTGTTTAATGAATTGGAAAGGTAGGAAGAGAGATATGCCATATGGAAATCAGCAGATGAGACAAAATTATTATGTTGGCTGTGGACAGAAAGGGCTGTGGGAAATGCCTGGGAAAGAGAACTAAGTTAAATGAACACACTGTGTTCTGTTGGGTGAAACTGAATGTTGGTATGTTCAAAGTAATGTGTGATGCAGGGCAGACTCGAAACTCTTCAGATACCCAAAAGGTCCTGAATCAAGAATATCAGCCAAATGAAAGGGCGAATGTCTTTGCAGAGCTCTGCCCCATGCTGTGATGCCCTTGAGCAGGCAAATCAGCTGTTTGGATGCAGAGGCTGTGGGTGGAGAGGGCTCTGGAAGAGCTCTTGGTACACCTGCAGTGCTGCTTCATTTGGAATAGCATGCCAAACCTGGGTCAGCCCTTTTCTGAAGGGATGCTGGAGAAGTGAAGGGCCTCGGAGGTGATACAGAAAGCTTGTGAACACCCCCAAGTGAAGATATGGAGGAGACAGGGGTTGTTGGTGTCAGACAGCAGACTGGGAGTGTATGGTGTGAGGAAATAAAATTATGAGACATATAAGGATATCTGTCCTTCCTTTCCTTATCACCTAGGAGTGAAGGAAAGCACAGTGAAATGAAAGTGTATTTGATTTAGGTTCACAGGGTTGAACTGTGGAGGTCTAAGATATGAGAATTTGTCAGGTCCAAGAATTTAGAAAGGTTCATAGTGGATTTGTGTGTTTTGTGGAAAACAAGAGTACCTCAATGAGCTTTAACTGAGGATGAGCCCAGTTTTGGAGCTTGAACCTGCAGGTTCAGTCTTCAGAGCCTACATTAGCCTGCAACTCGTAGCAGCAAATAAGAAAATTGAGACAGGAGTATATTCTCCCTCATTTGTCTGCTTTGATTTTTTCCCACCTTTTCTCCTCCAAATTCCAGTGATGTTTTTTCCTGAGAGCCTGTGTGGACATTTCTCTGATCCGGAATGGTTGTTCCCTTGTGTACATCTTACCTGCTGGGACACAAGCAGTGAAATTCTGTTCATGTCTAATCATATTGAAGTCCACAGTATGAAGGAGAATTTTCATCCTCTGAGTTTGAAATTGGTTCTGGGGAAAACCAAACCCCAGCCCTGCCACAGAAAAGGTGCAAACCCACCTAAACTCTTGATACTGCCTCAGATCAGAAACCTGACCTGCAAAGTATTCCTGGGAGATTGAACATGCTTCCATCTTCTGCCTGAATTACAGATGCAGGAATCAGTGCCAGAATAACAGGGTATCTAGCAAACTTTCTAATTTCCAGCCCAGGCTGGAGCCTAGAAGTAAAAATCTGCTGGGGCTGAAGGGAGAAGAGAAATCCCTGAGTCTATGGAAACCCTGAAACCTTATTTGATTACTTCCTCCTCTCTTCAGTGTAAGGACCTGAGTCTACAAATATATCTTCCCTGTCCAATAGCATTCCCTATCTAGGAGCATGGTCCCAGTTCTTGTTTTTTTTTTTTGGTTTCTTTTTTTTTTCCCCCTTTCATTCTGAGTCCGTGATACAGGATGCTGAAATCTTCAACAGCTCGGCTAACTTAGCCTGTTTGATTTCTAGCTATTTGTGTGTAGCTACAAATGCATGTGTAGCTACAGACAAATCCCAGACTCTTTGGAAGTATGTCTCCTTCCTGGACAGCCCATGAGGTGTGAACAGAGTGACTACTTGCCCAGGGAAATAGATAAAAAACCACTGGGGATCATGTTTGCATGCTGCTCTTTGCTGGATCTCTGTGAGCTCTCTTGTATTCTTAGAGGTGTGATTTGTTTCGGTAGGTAGCTTGGAGCTGCACCCACTGCAGGTGACGTGGATAGAGTGGGAGCAGCCAGGCTTGTGTCCCAGTGCCAAGAGACCTGGGGTCAGTATCACACCTTTCCACGTGGTTAAAAGTTCCTGTGAGGCCAGAGGGAACTTTGGCAGTGTGTCAAAGCTGACATCACCACAGCCCCTGCAAACCTCTGGGCTGGAAGCAACATTTCAACACCTCTCCTGGAATCCAGGAGCTGGGGACTGTGGGGGCTGAGAGACACTGACGTCACCCATGCTGTGTGCCAGCAACCCCAAGGCTTTGGAGATGGCTTGATCATCACTACTCTATTACAGCACCTAAAAAGACCTCTGGGATCAAAAGATGATTGCATCTCTCTGCTCTATTACAGCAGCCAATGAACCTCCAGGGCCAAAGGATAAATGCACCATCACTGGAGTATTACAGCATTTAGAAACCTCACTCACTGACTCACAGCTGTCTGACCCCTCCACCACAACCACTTGCAATTTGTCTCGGCACCCAGCCACCTTCTCTACTGAGGTGTAGCTGGATAATCCTTGTGCTTTTACAGTGCCTGCCTGTGTGCAGCTCTGAGGTGAGACCACACTATCTTCTCACTTATTTGGGTACAGGGGGAGCACTGGTGTTGTGATGCATTTGCCAGACCTTTACAAATGCAGCAAAGCAGCACTGAAATAAACCACTTCCCTTTAACACAGCATCTGTGAACCTCTGGTACTGCTTTGCTGTGAGGTGATCTGCTCCTGGCCGGTACAGGGAGGGGGCTCTTCTCAGGCTGTTAGAGGTGTTTCAGAAGACAGCTCAGCCCCTGGCAAGGGCTGTGTTGTACCAGCAACTCGAGCTTACTAATGGCAAGGGGGATACTTTGAATGTCTGGTCAGTGATCCTGCCATTTAGAAAGCATGAATTAATTTCTCAGACACCCTAGAGAGGTGGAGTTCTGTCATGTTATGAACCTGACTTGTAGATTCTGGGGAAAATCCTAAAAGCTTTTGGTAATAGAGGTTTTAGTGAGTTTAATGCCGATGGAATTAAAAGTCTCTAGGCACTCGTTGTGAATGGATTTACACTGGGGAGATTAGAAAAGGGAAAACATTATTGGTGTCCAGGAAACTCAGGAGAGCAGCTGTCAGCTGGTTTAGATGGAAAGTTCCCCAGTGGGCAGGTGCCCTGGCAGGCAGACAATGCACACGCACCCCCTGTGGGGCTGGCTCGCACGCTCACGGGCTGGGGACACGTCCCACGGCCACTGTGGGCATGTCACATGTGAACATTCACAATAGGATGTTTGCATTCACCGGTTTTATGGACACACTGAACAGACTTTAACGCAGGAATGGTCTCTTCATTTTGGCTGGTATCTCTTACACAAAGACCCATATGCCTCACTCAGGGGCTGCTGGCCTTTCCCAGCATGTTCATTACTGTTCACTCCTGCTGAGAAGCATGGAGAAGAAATACCTGCCCTCCTCCCTGCCCACAGACACACCATTCTGTGCAAAGCAGTCTCTCGTTCATGGGTAGGCCTTTTACAGCCCCCCTTTCTTCCCAGCAGAAAAGCACTTGCTGTGTAGCTGTAAAATGTAACAATGAAGCACAGTTAAAGTGAACACTGGGCAAGATCCTTGTGGAATAATTTTGTGAGGTTTAATAATTTCGTAGTAAATTTTGGCCAACTCACAAAATCCACCATTTTCAACTTGTCTTGGAGGCCTGGGGAGGCATCTCTATATTGGCCAACTTCTGCTCCTTTTCCCCAGGCCTCAGTGTTTGCCACTGCTGGAGTAAGAATCCTGGAGGCAGATGGTTCTTCCCTGTCCCCTCCAACAAGTACGGCATGATCCTGGAGGTTTGGCCTTTCTTGGACTTCCCTGCAGAGGCTGGGTTGCTAAGACTGTGCTCTTTGCTCAGGGATCAGAGAGGCAACAGAAGAAAAGACACCAAGAGACCTATGGGGAGAATGAGAAAGGTTACAGCTTTAAGTACATGAGCTGGTTATGCTCCTCTCGGGAAGGCTCCAAGAGATGCTGTTCCCCTTGTTATTTCTCTCCAAAGTCTGTATCACTTGTTGGTGCACCTTTTTGAGAGCAAAGATCAGGGTTCATCCACCCTGGCCTTCTTTTTAAGTGGTAGATCATCAAACTGAGGACTCAATTAAAATCCCGTTTTGCAGATCTCTATTTCCTCTGCCACAGAGGAAAACTCACTGGGTGATCAGGCTTTGTTAAAGCAGGGAGCTCCTTGCCCCTGCAGGGAAGATGGGCAGACAGGAGAGCTGGTACCCTGCCAGGGCATCAATTGAGTGCCCACAATCAAGCCAAGAGCAGAGTTACACCTTCTTTGTAGGGTGAAGACAATGCCTTGTCCACAACACAGAGCAGAGTGCTGGGATTCATGCCATTCCTTTTCTTCCTGCACAGCATGGATTACTGCCTGTTGACTCTGGGGGTCAGGGTGAGAGGGAAAGGCTGCTGGACTGGTTGATATGCCCTCAAAACAAGGTGTCAGATGTTGAGTACCAGGGGCAGGGCAGACACAATGTCTCTCGTGGCCCACCCAGTGAGTGGGTAGGTGCCACCAGGGTGCCCACACACAGGGAGGAGATGGGAGAGAGGAAACAGCTAGGAAAGAGGGTCAGTAGTCTCAGTGCCTCTCCAGGTGGCCCTTCTTGTGCTGGAAAGAGGTGGTGGGAGTGCAGAGAGTTAGGGAAGGAAGAAAGGGAGTGCAGATGCTCTGCTGGCAAGCTGGCACCCCTCAAAGTGGTGTGGAGCCAGCAAGCATTGTAGCCATCAGCCCTTGGCCCTGGGCTTGCCTTCTTCAGATGGGAGATGCAACTTTGAGAGAAGGGGAGTTTTAAGTAAAGAATAGAAGCAAAAGTATTAATATGGTGACTGGGGCTATGGCAATGCACAGTGAGCTCTCAACAGCAATATTTCTGCAGGAACTGGAGCTGTCCCTGGAGCTGTGGGCCTAATCTGTGGTGGGGAGGGGAGAAATCTGTTGCTGTGACCACTGATCCCAGGAAGGTGCCTGAGCTGGCACTCCTGATGATCCACTTGTCCTGCAAATGTGTTGATCTGCTGGGCATGCATGCACCTGCCTTTATATGGGTGCAGAGCCAGGCTGGGCTCTGTTCTGCTCAGGCTGCATTTGCACTGACAGCACCTCTGGATATCAGCAAGGAGATCCACTCTGGAATCCTCTTTGAAAATTGCACTGCAAAAATGTTTTTGTTCTTTCTGCATCCTGTGTGAAAGAGGTTCTATCCCACCATCGCCTTTCTTAAGGCATCTCTGTTTCTGTCAATTTATCCACAAGTACAAAGAGAACACGAGTGCAGGTGGTCCCCCCCATGCCAGACAGCTGTGCTGGCTGTTGTAATCAGCTCGTTCAGGCAGGATGTGTTCACCCCCTCTAAACAGTAGTCATTGTCTATTCCCAGGCAGAACGGTGCTTCTGGAGGACATCTAGCACAACTAACTCATCATGACAACCAGCAGCAACTTCAGGCTGCTTTCAGAGAGCTGTTTGTGGAATCACCTCAGCCCTTTAGCACAAGATGTACACTTGCAGCAAGCCCTGCCACTACAGAAGAGAGTGGCTTCTGCTTCCTGCGAGTCCTGTGTCCCTGGCAAATGCTAGCCCATGACTAACGTGTTCAATGCTGACAGGTCAGCGTGAGATGGGAGAAAGGGGATCTTTATCTCAGTGGGATCACTGAGAGCAAACGGGCTTTGCAGCAGTAAGGATGTGATGAAGTTGTCAGCTGCAAAAGACTGTACGTGGTCTTAAGGCTCATAAACACCTGATGGGGCACATTCACAGCTTCCCTGGAGATGGGAAAAGTTATTTGAGGGCAGCCCCTAGGATTTTCAGGATCTGTCAGTTGCTTTCTGGGGATGAGAAAACCTGGCATGTTCCTGTTGGGACTGACTAGCAGAGATTCCAAGACCTTCATCTGCCATGATTAACAGGGTTTATGCTCGCTGTTTTTTCAGGGACTGTCCTGTGTGTGAAACTGTAGGCTTGCCACAGAGCACTGGGCTGAAGAGTGTAGTGGAGGCTGAGTGCACCTGTGATTTATGGGAAGATTACAACCTTGCCTGCATAGCCACGTGGATGTCAGCACAGTTTATATTAACTGCACCACGGTGGCATGCTACATTCTCACAACACAGAGGGTGAGAAGGGGCAGACTTTTCAGAGGGAGCTGCCTCTGGGCATTGCTATTTTTTACTTCATCCTTGGAGTTGGTGAGCCTGGTAGTGTTGCAGGGTGACATGTATGAAGAAACCTGACACCAAGCTGGAGGACCTATGAGGCTGCATCATGATATAGCCAACAAAGTGATCTGCTTGCTGTTGCTTTGATGTGATCATATGACAGTTTGATGCTTTATTCAAAGCACTGGTTACAACTTCCTTACCCTTCTTTCCCAAGCACTTTGAGGCCAACTAATTTATTAATAAATTAGAGGGATTAAAATAAACAGTGCTTTGAAAATCATTAGGCATCCCAAATGCCTGGAAACAAACAGCAGTTGAAGTAAAAATACAAAATGCAAATAGGCTAAGAACTGGGCCATAAAATATTGTATCCTAGCCCTGGGGCAGCTCTGGAAAGAAAAACTGTGTTTTTTCCCTTGTGTCTTTGGTTTGGGACAAAGAAAATAGTACTGGGGTTCTGTGAATGAAGAATAGTCCCTGCCCCAATTCCTGCAGTGGTACAGAGCCTGCCCCACCAGTGGCTTTACTGGCTGCAGAACAGAGATGTGGGGAGATGAGGCCACAAGCACCAGCTAAGGGGCTGGAGCTAAGGCAAGATCTGAAGGCTACAGACTGGGGACCATCTGGGTGAGCAGCTGTCCTAGGCAGCTCCTTCTGCTACTCTTGGTCCTGACCCTCACCCTCCAGGCACTGCATACCCAATTCTTTCCTCCTCTCAGCTCACTGCCTTTCTCACTCCAGCTCCTCTTTCCCTCTCTGAAGACCCAGGGACTGACACAGCCAATTCATGCAGCATCCAGCTCATCTTCCCTCAGTGGTACCAAAGCTGAGCCACCTTGGTGGCCACATAAGCAGGAATGCTGGCTGCTGCCAGAGCAATGACAGACCACTTTACACAATGACCTTTCCTCGTTCTGCATCCTAGCTGGGGTGATGCATTTATTGTTGCCAGCTGCCTTTTTCTTGTCAATCTGTGCCAGTTCACAGACAGTGCTATAACACCACTGTCCCATGAGGAAACATAGTCCCCAAGGATGTCACACAGGGTACAAACAGTGGATGAAGGTATGGGTGATTATCTGATTGCTGTGTTATTCTGAGTGAGGTTTATATGGGAATTACTTGGAAAAGGAAGCTTTTGAAAAATGCAGCAGAGCAACATGCATGTCTTTGATGTGTTTAAGAGCTGGTGTGGTCCTGCTTAAGAAGTGGAAGTAATGAAGGCAATCAGCCTTGGCTCAGTAGGATGATTTTTAGGCTGGAGAAATGTGAAGGAATCACAACCGACTGATGTTTCTGCCCAGCAGAGAACAAGGAGATCCAGTTTTCTAGGCAGTTGTTGGAGGTTCTCTGTCGGTGAATGAGATATTCACCACCTTCAAGACTGAATCCTATCCATACTTGGAGAAGACTGTGTATTTGTGAGGAGGAACAGGGGTTCAGCTGTGAGAAGTCTGCCTGATTCAGGAATTGCCTGGACCATCTTGAGTTTCTCTTGCGTGACAGACTTCTCAGGCATCACTGGCCAGGGAGAAAGCAATGAAAGAAAGCTGGTCTAGGAAAAGGCAGAGCCTGTCTGATAATTGAATATTTCTCCCTGCCTGGCCAGCATGCTGCAAGTGGAAGATATCATGAGGCCAAGTGCCTGCCACTGCCAAGGGACTTCTACCCTCCACAGAGCCACTGGGATTTCTAATCCAGGCTGTATAGGACAATGCTGTCATGTTAGTAATGGTATAACTCTCTTAGCAGTCTACCGGTGTGACAGAGTCACAAAGGGAACAGTGTAGGCTGAATATGCACTCATGCTTGCTAAGCCTGTAATCCCAGCTTTGATTTTCTCTCCCTCTTTTCATGTTTTTAATTTTCATTTTTATTCTTTTTTTTTTTTTTAATAATAAGTTCAAACTTAATAAGAGTGATTCACTAGTTGCCTGTTTATCTGTCTTTGGCATGGCGTCCAATTTGGATTGCACAGGGCAGAAAGGTGAGGTGCAGAAGGAGAAGGAAGGCCTGGGAGATGAAGGGGGAAGCTGGAGAGTGTTCCTGTTTCCTCTCTCCATAGAAACTAAGGCTGGTGTCTTTCTGTGAACCTGAATGTCTTGGCTGTTTTTCCCCCTGTGGTCAGAAGAGGCTGATGATCAGCTCTGTTCTCCCATTTGATTTTGACCTTTTGTGGGTTTCCTTGTAAAGGTTTAGCAGCTGTAAGCAGCTGATGGGAAGTGTTTGGTGGTCTGTGAGATGGGTGGAGGCAGGCCCATGGGTGCCCTGAACTTGTCTGGCCTAGTTGTTGTGTTTGGATGAGGCAAGTGTCAGTGGTGGAGCTAAGCCCTTCCAAGGCTATGTCTTGCAACTGCATCTGAGACTGTGCCTGTACCTCCTTGTGGTTGATATGTTTTCTCTGCAGATCCTAGCAGACCACAGATGTTCCTCAGCCCAGGCAGCTTCAAGACCTACTGTAGGGCTGATTCTAGCATCATAATGTGTTTCTGCATCCAACCCCCTTTTGATTCTGCCTGCCTAGGAACCTGACCACCTCTCTTCTCAGAAACCGCTCAGGCTGGCCAGCAAGATTCACCATTTTCTTACTACTGCTGGGCAGTAGTAAGAAAAAGCAAGGAATTCCTGTATATACACGTGGAGCCTGCTGCCCAAGAGCTGCTGTTAAGAACTGCCTTGCACTGCCCTTCTCACTCTGGGCAGTCACTGGCCTCAGCCACACCTCAGCCAGTTTCACCCCAGGTGCTTCTTCCAGGGTGAGCCTCCTCCCTCCTTGTCTGCTGCGGCAGGCACAGCCCTGCTGAACTGCTCTGGGCTGCAGGTGGCCGTGCTTGTGGCCGGGTGACACTGAACATGGCAGACATGGAGCAGGTCATCCGGAATAAGCAGTTAAACGTGGGCTGCTGCATAGGAGGATAGCGAACAGGAGAGGGCAGAAAGGTTAGAAAAACTAGCTTTAGTTTAGTTAAAATGAAACAACTGCGGAGCAGCGTTAGACTAGTATTGAAAGCCTTCTGCTTCACCTTGGTTAAATAATGCGTACTCATGATTCATTGTGGCTGGACTGATCCTGACTCCCAAAGACCTGTGTCCAGCTGACCCATGTGTGGTGCTGAGACTGCCTGGCATAGAGAAGACAGCTCTGTCGGAAACCAAGGGAAGCTCTGGGGCATTCTGGCAGCTTGTGGGGTGGTAAGTGATGGCAGGCAACATGCTGTCGTGCAGGATCAGCGAAACACTGCTCATCTCTCAAGCCGTCTGCTTTTCTTGCTCTTTGTGAGCCACTTCTCACCTCTCCTTTTCATGTGCTCATATCACCTCTTTTCTTTCCCTCACTTTCTCTGTGTGGTGCATGGCACAGAGACTATAATCCATGATAACCCTCTATTCTCTCTTTTCTCTTCCTCACCACCTTTCTCACTCATCCTTTCTTCGTGTCTCTCACTAGCACTCTCTTGCTCGCCCTGCCAATTTATGCTTCTCTGTCCTCCCACACTCTGTCCCCGTTTCATCAATCTCAGCATAGTCCTGTTTCTCACCAGAGCTGCTGTTTCATGTTTACTCTGGTGGAGGGAGGGCAGGCAGGTGTGAGGGTAAGGTAACAGGTAGGAAGCAGGAGAGCTGAACTGAGACCTCCTTTGGTGACCATGGCTGAGTCACGTCACCCATTCCGTAGCCTGGCTCCTTTCCTGTGACACGGGAACACTCAGCTACGAGTGAATCTGCAATGCTTAGAGGTTGTAGGGCCAAGGTCTGTGAAGCTCCTGGAAGTGGGCTAGAGCTCTTTGGGTGCCTGTGCAGTTTTTGTTTGTCTCTGGTGCGCAGCTAAGCCCTTGTGTCCGGACTGACAGGATAGAGGCACGTTCCCAGCCCTGCTGGTTGTCCTATTCTCAAAATCTGCCCCACCCACACTTTCCTATGAAATAACCCCAAGGATTGAAGTTGACAAGGCTCAGCTATGGAGTTTTGATCTGCAGTGATCCAGAGCTTTGTCCCTGCAAATCCCTGGAGACTAATGGCAACTCCTGTTACTATAGGTGCTACCTTTGTAATTACACCAGTTTGCTTCTCCAATTCCACCTTTTTCTTCTTTTCTTCCTCTCTGCCATGCTGCTTTCTACCTTTGCATACCAGAGCCTGCCTTGCCTGCTGGTTGCTGAGGGCTGGCCCGGAGCTGCCAGATGCTTGCACCTTCTCAGCTCTCACGGGTAGGAGTTGCTATGGGAGACAGCGAGAAAGAAAAAGTGCCTTCCCCAGCAGCACTAGGAGCTAGAAGTCTTCCATTGAGTGGAGAACACCCCCCTCTTGTGCTCCTTCCTCCCCTCAGCCCCCCTTTAGAGAGCACTCTGCAGAAAGCTGCCTTTGAAGCCCCTTAATTAGTGTCCCGTGTGTCCTGAACGGAGCCCTTCATTACCACCAGCAAGAGGCATAAATTGGCATGTGTTTCAGGTTTGGGCTCAGTGCCAGAATTTTGTTCCAGTCCCCTCCCTCCAAACCTCTCCAGTTTCCCCCCTCCGTGACACGCGTGTGCACACACACATTCACTCTCTGTCACAGAAAAACACACACACATGCACACACAAGCGACCCTGCCAAAAAAGAGACATCCCCTTTCCATCATCCCACATTTCAGAGAAAAAAAAAAAAAAAAGAAACAATGACAGAGGTCGCTCTGTTCCCTGCCTCCCCACGGCTTGCTCTTGGCTCTGCTGACCCTTTAGCATATGCAACTGCAGGTTGGGGGTCATTATCAGCCCTAGAGTATCTCTCACAGCCTGTGGATGTGCTCAGAGGGTGCTAATTAGTGAGAGAAGGGCTGATTAGGTTAGAAATTAAGTGTTTATTCTATTGGGGTTTTTTTTTGGTTTTTTTTGGGGTTTTTTGTGGTTTGTTTTTTTTTTTTTTAATATGTATGTGTGTAAAAATAGTGAGGCCAGATGGAGTCTCAGGAATAATGAGAGAAAAGGCAGCCAGGAGTCAAGGGGGGTGAATCTGTATCCTGTCTCACCTCTCCTGTACACCCTGGGTGGACAGGCATTCTGCAGACTCACAGCACTCCTGCAGCACACCAGCAGCCACCACACATTCCCTGTGGCTGTCCTCGTTGGGATCCAGCTGGACATCTCCTCTCTGCACAATGTTCTCTAGAAGCTTTTCATACCTGGAGAGCCTCTTATGTCCATCACCTCATCTTTTCCAGCTCAACCTTAGTGCCTTTGTTCCCCACCCTCCCCCACACTTTTTTAATCTGTGTCACAATTAGCAGCAGCCAACAGGTTCGTGGCATCACCAGCCTTTCAGTGACACCCCTTGTCTTGCTGGTGTCTCACCCCAAGTGTGCTGTCCTCATAGAGAAATCCTGCTTCACAGGCTCTTGCTCTGCCAGACTGAGGAAATTCAGTCTATCTCTGCCATGGACTTCATCCCTCCTTTGCAAAAGTTGCAACAGAGGACCCTCAAAGCTGATTAGGAGTCTGATTTCCAGGAACTCCAAAGTCTCTATGCCTGAGCAAACCATGTCCTTGTCCTGTTATGTATCTTTTCTTCCCTGCACCTATGCTATATTGAGCTTTTTATGGACTGTGGGATGAGGAAGAGCAGATAATGGTATGGCTGAAGAGCAACTGTGTCTTGCTACAAGGCTGTTCAGTGCTTCCAGTGCTGCAGGGAAAGCTTTGTGGCCATGAGGGGCCGTTGAAAAACTGCCTGCCTTCCACTTAACCTAAAGTAGGTCTCTGGGGCCAATATTTTGGATGCAGTGGATATGGAACCTTTCTCCAGAGGCCAGTGTTTAGGTTGAGGATACTCAGATTCCAACAGGCTGGAGGAGAGGGAAGGAAAGAGGCTGTACTTGCTCCAGAGCTTGCTTCCTGGGGTGGGAATTGTGCTGGCAGACTCATGAGCTCACACAGCTGGAGGCTGGTATCTGCAGCAGGCCAATTTATGTGACCTGAGGGCTCACTCTGATCTTGGCAGTGAAGGCCATCTCTCCCAATCGTGGATATGACTGTTGAGAAAGGGCTGAGTTTGTTTTGTTGATCAGCTTGGGGAGTGTGTGCCGGGGGAGGTAAGAACTTGTCACTACGATGTGCTGGAGGAGTATCTGCAGGGAGGAGTATTTGCTCAGTAACCAGTGGGGGGACTGTGATCCCCTAGAATCACAGCTCACTGGGACGTGTGGGTCTGACAGCAGAGGAGATTCTCTTGCTGACACTAGGGGGGCCCGAGACCCTTAGCTGCATTTCAGAGCCCAACTACAAAGTGTCTGGTGCACTGGAGCTTTGTACCTATGAAATAAGAAGTCCAGCTCCTTTTAAGGGTGGGAGAGCAGCTGAGGATCTCCAGCTACAGGGATGTACTTGTGGTGGGAAGGAAGGCCACATGTGTGTGCTGGTGTTCCTTGGGCTGTGTGCTGTCAGTAGGACTGCATGCATGACTGTTTGGCTGTTGCCTGAGAGGAGGGTGTATTTGTCTGGGTACAATTCTGACCTCATTCCCTTTTCATTGCATCGGTGCTTTTTTACCATGTGGCTCCTGTAAGAGCCAAACAAACAAACAAACAAACACACACACGGGAATCCAAACTCCCTATTACCACCACATTGCAGATGCAGCCTGGTTTGGCCTGTATTTCTCCTGTTGCCACAGCAACGGTAAGCCAGGGAGTAAATCAGAATATCCTCTCTGGTGCTCAACACCCCCATATGGCAAAATAAATGACAGTGTGGAAAGCCTGGTCTGTCTCCCCTACCTCTCCTTCCAAACTCCTGTTCAGCAGAGACCTCTCATATCCTGTCAGATCCCAAGGAGATCACAAGCTTCCTCCATAGGGGATGAGGGAACACCACCTCTGCTGTGACCAGCAATCCCCCCTATTCTCTCCTCCAGCTGCTGTGTCTCCTGTGGAGGGTGATTAGGTCTGAATCAATACTCACTGTGCATGGTCTCAGCTCAGCTGGCTTTTAACAAGATGAGTTCCATCAGCTCCACTAAGGACCAAACAGCATCCAAATCAGGCTTAGCAACCTGCTTCTTGCTTCAGCAAACTCTGCTTACAGCTGGGAGAAACAGCCTTTGGAGAGGAGCAAAGCAATCAAAGCACATTTAGGACCAGGACTCCTGTCCAGCTGAGCTCAGAAATATGCTCACTGGGACAGCTGCCAAAAGGGCTCCACCAGCTACGCTTTGTGCTGGCCTTGGGCACTTCCAAAGTCAGCAATGTGCTTAGGAGAGAGATCTGTCTGCCCAGAAAGAAGAGTCCTTGGGAGGAGAGGACTGCCCCTGAGAACTAGTGTGTTGCAGTCCCCTGGAAGCAGGGGAGAAACTGGATTTGCATTTTCTACAGCAGCTCTTTCTATGTGCATCTTAGGTAGGATAATTCTAGCCCTAGAGGATGACCTGCATCCCTCTTAATTCCAGCAGCTGATTAGAGGGTATCTGTCACTTGTGCCTCCCCCAGCTTTGGCTGTGACTTCCTTCCTTAGGAATCTCACTCTGTTCTTTGGCTGGATTTCCCCAGAGAATCCAATTTATGGCTCCCCAGTGATTGCTAATGTGTAAATACTGTGTGCTTCAGTATGGCAATGTGAATGCCCTAGTGCACTGGAACTGTTAACCCTTCAGCAGCTGAAGATCCTCTCCCTGCTGTGAAAGCTGCCTTGCTTGACAGGGAGAATCCCGGCCTGGGATCATGGGAGCTCAGTCTGGCTCTAGGCATGCTTGCAGATCGGTGCAGGAGGGTGGACCTGCAGGCCACCTTAGGCTTCTGTGGAGGTGAAAGGATGAGGCAGGAGCACCCCAAAGAAAAGGCAAAAAGGGCCATTTCATGATTAAATGCTAGAGCACAGCAGCAGTGTAAAAATATACATATATCACAAGCCTTAATTAACACAGGCAAAGGGAAAAAGAGAAAAAAAGCCACTTTTTAAAGGTTTCACAGAGACTATAAACTGGCAGCACAGAAAAAAAAATGTAATACATGCAAATTAATGGCATAAATTTAGGGTTACTTAACTTCACAAATGTTAACAAGCTCATAAAAAAAAAGTTATTCTTTCTCAGTTTCCTGTCGCTGTTTGTTTAATTCTCTCCCTCGCTCTCTTTTTTAACTCTGTTGAGAAGATTATGTTTTCAGTATATCCCACCTAAATTAATTCTGCCTCTCTCTTCCTTCTCCCTCCCTCCTCTCTGTCACTTTCTTTGTACCTTCCTCTGTCTGCTTGCCTTCCTTCCCTGCCTATCTATCATATTCTTAATGTCCCCATCATCATAGTATCTACTCTTGGATACAGTACTGTCTCATTTCTCTCCCTAATTCCTTGCCTGGCTCTCCCCCACTCACACCCCACCCTTCTTTGCAGCTCTCAGTCTGCTACCCTCTTCTGGATTGTATATTTTTTTTTTCTTTTTCCTGTTTTTTTGTTGGATTTGTTTGGTTTTTTTTTTTGTTTGTTTGGTTTGGTTTTGGGGGGGGGGGTGTTGTTTTTTGGGGAGTGGTGGTGGTTTTTTGGTTTTTTTGTTGTTGTTGTTGTTATTTGTTTCTTTGGTGTTTTTTGCTTTTTTTAATTTGTTTTTTCCTTTAGCTGTCTAGCAGTCAGTATAACTCCAGCCTGGTAATGCTATACACAACACTACCAATTTCCAAACATGCATTTTTTTCCCTGCCACTGGCAGAAAAAGAAGGCAAGGAGTAAATTAAGTGGTCTCGGGCTGAGCTGCTCGTTTATCAGGCGTTGGAGTGGCTGTTTGTGGCTGCAGACTGCATGGTTGGAGGCAGAGGTAGGGCTGTGTGGGCAGGCTGGCTTGGTACACCGCAGCCCCACTCTGAAACAGCTGTCACAGCTCCCCCAACACCGTCCCTTTATTCGAGGCTCTGCCTCTGCACAATGGTGGATAATAAAGGGCACGGCAGCTCCTTGCTGAGCCTGGGAAGTCATGAGCCCCTGAGGTCACCGTGTCTCTGCTTCCCGCGTGTTTCTTGCTTTGCTTACAGATAAAACTAAGTTTAGAAAACTCAGGCAATTGCCAGTTTAGCTCTGCCAAAACTCATTTCTCCGGAAAGAGGACATACGCCTTTTGTTCTGCTTCTTTTTAAGCTACCAAGGACACCCCAAGTTTCATTACTTGTGACGTAACTTGTCCTGTCCGTGATGCTACAGCGTTCTGTTCTTAGGCTCTTGTTCTCATTGCTTAAAGGGAAGATGGGTAAAAAAAAAAATCTTATTTTGACTTATGGACCAGACTGAGTCATAGGAAGACATCATTAAAAAAAAAGAGGGGGTGGATATCATCAGCTTTGGCCACAAGCCATCCTTGGAGCTTTCAAAGTCGCCTGTAAATATTGCTGCCAGCTCTGTTTCAGTATCAGAGACAGCAGTCCTGGCTAATAGCTTTTCTCCTTAGTGGCCCAATTCAGTATTTCAGAATGCTGGAGAGAAGAGGGGGAAGTCAGTGTTTTATTCAATATAGCAATCTCAGGAACAGGGAGGTGAAATTTCAAGCTGGACTCCCCTGCAAGCAGTGAAAATAAGAAAATCCAAACAAGCAAAGGAAAAAAAATGGAAAAAACTGAATTTCTCAAAGCAAGAGGAAAGATGTTGGTGAGTGGGTAACAGAGAGGTTAGGAGGAGGAAGCACAGAGGGAGAATCTGTTGTGTTTGGAAGATGTGGGAACCATCAACACAGATGTTGCAGAAGAAAGCAACTGAGAAGCTGAATGGGACTTGCATGGGTTTACAGTTGGGTGCATGCTTAAGCGTGTTGCTAAATGGAGACCTGAATGAGTGAGAACAAGAAATAATCATGCGGGAGTCCCTGTGCAGAATCAGTCTCTGTCCAGATTGACATCACAGGCTTTCCCACTGATATAAAATGTTTTTCCTGGGTAGGAAATGAGTCAGGGTGACTCCGGAGCTTAGGGCTTGGCCTATGCATATTAAGAGGAGTAGCAAAGAATAAATAAAATATGGAATATGCAAGGGTGACTAAGGACTCAAATAGAAGCAAAGAACTGTGGGGGAAGGAATAGGCCCACAGTGAGGAACGAGGAGGGGCTTCCAGCTTAATTGCTTTCTAGGGCTACCTGGAGAGAGATTTAGGGGGATAAGCATCACTCCCTGGCCACGAATACCTATTACATGGGTTAGTGGGTAAGACATTTGCATGCCTGTATTAACTAAGTAATGCTCCTTTGTTGGATTTTTTTTTTTTTTTGGTCCTTTCAGCCCAGAAACAGTCTGAAGCAAAGTTTGTTTCTCACTGAAAATATTTGCAGCACCAATGAAATCAGAGGCCCAATAAAAATTGCAGCCTCCATGTACTCTGCTACTGACAGCATTGGAAGAGTCAGAGCAGAGAATAGATGGGGAAATAAGATGGAAAACTGGACTGAGAAAGAACAAGGGAAAGGATGGGGTGTTTTTTAAATTGAGCTGTCCCCCATTTTTGATTGCATCATAGCCTGAATTAGCTTTGGCCTACATAATTAAAATGGAGGATGTCAAGGTACCAGGAGGAAAAAGTATTTTGCTGGGTTATTTGCACAAATCATCTGTTCACTGCACAGCTGCTGTAGGAAATGCAACGCCATGAGTAGACATACATAATTGTAGAGATGGGGAATGAATAAACGTGTTTCAAAGAACAAGGAGAATTCTAAATGTCAGCAAAGGGGTATATGACTCACTCATTGGGAAAATACTATTATTGGATACGTAAGTAGGACTGCACAAAGCACTAAGAAGAGGGATGCTACTAGAAAAAAGAAGAATTAATAAATGAAGGTAACATTTGGGTATGTGACAGTGAATGAATGAGGAGATGTGCTATAAATGCCATGAGCTATCACAGGGCCTGGAGTGAAAGCAGAGAGAAAATGCGGGGTTGAGGATGGCAAAGGATGAAAAGAGAGAGATCATGGACGATGAGGAGAAGCATTGCTGGAGACTGCTGAAATACAATGGAATGGATGAGTGTTTGTTATAAAACTACTTGGCTTTAGGCAGAATAATGGTGAAAAAGAGTTTCTGTTCTACTGAGTTGGGAGTAAAGAAATAAATGAGGTGGGACTCCATGGGAGGAGAAGAAATGGCTGTGCTGAAGAGGCAGGAGGGGGCCCAAGGCCCAGCTGGAACTGGTTTCTGCAGAGGAGTGTTAGGCTGTGATGGACATGTCATATGGAGGAATCCCTCCCTGTTTTTGGAAAGGAAAAAGTGGTGTTTGAGTGTAACAGATGATATTGTATAGATTACAGACATGGCTGAAATAAGCAGTGCAGGACCAAGGCATTTTGTGTGAGTTCAAGCCAGGAATTGACAGTAATTAACTAATGCTCCCGGTGCAGTCAACAACAAAGTTGCAGACTTTTTGAGTCCAGAACATAATGAACTTGAAACCTTTCAGTTGCCAAATCCTGGACACTATCCCAACAGACCCATCCCACATGCCTGGCTGGTCACCCTCACAGCCTGAAATGCTGTGTGCTAGCGCATCTGCCCAAGCGGAGACTGAGGAGTCCAGCCACTTCTGCAAATGGATCAGTCCTGTTTACAGCTAGGGCCAGGGGATCTCTAGTCCTGGAGGAGGAGATTTCCAGAGCCTCTAATTTGGGTCCAGCTGGGAGCAGTTCTTATTTTGGTTTTGAAACCCCGAATCCCCAGCAAGCTGCTTTTCTGGCTGTCTTGGGGTTGATTGAGTTGGTAGAGAGACAGATGTAGGTGGATAATGGGAAAGGGGGTGGTAAGTGGCAGAGCTATTGCCTGAGCGAGAGAGAAGGATGCCGTGTAAGTACTGCCAGTCCCCATTCAGTGAGCAAGTGGTGAGTCAGGGGCAGATACTGAGTCAGCAAGAAGGCGGAGGGGTAGTGGGTGGGTAGAGCACCCTGGCTAACTCTGTGCAAACTGCTCAGCTGCACCGTTGCACTCAGCTCTCTGTGGCAAAGTTGCATGCAGTGGTTCAGGCTATTGCATCCCAGTTTCTCCCCTCCCCATGAAATTCCCTGGGCTGCTTTTCTGAACCAGTGGGGCTTCAGAGAGGGCCCCGACTGTTGCCTCTGGTGGGCACAGATTTTCCTGAGGTGTTCATGAACCTACTTGCAAGCACTGCTTCTCTGTGAGGTGTGGTAGTAAAAGAAGGGCAATGAAAACAGCTGATGAAGGCAGAGAGAGCCCTTCAGCCTGTGTCACCCCAAAGATACTGCTCGTGC